AGGGTCAGAGGAAGAGAAACAGGATAAGGAGGACAGAACAGAATTTGCAAACCTTGGGTGATCAATTGATCGCCAGTTGCGGAAATTTACAGAGTGTGAGGGGGAAGTGTTAGAAACAGGTAATTCCAGGTAATTGGATTTAAGTTACATTTGCCACTCACCTTCAAATTTCCAAGTGCAACATTCCTACAGTATCTACAAGTAAAGCATGAAATGTCTGGGGCTGAATGGCACCAACTCAACCACCGTGGGTTTTCTTCCAGTTAAGGTACACAAAACAAACCCGTTTTAAGTGTGTTCAACACACAGTTACCAGTTATTGCAAAATGTGCCTCAGCTATCCTAATTGTGTGTGTGATTGTGTTGTATAACAACAACATAACATTTTTATGTTTGTTTTAATAGGCTGTCCTTAATATACTGTATCATACACCGTATTTAACGATTTTATCTACGTATGCCGAATATTTCGAAAAACTGTTGTTGTATGTAAATCTCCCTCTTTAGGATAAAAAAAAAACTTTAAAAACGCAAATGAAATAAGAAACTTTGTATTTTGTATCTCTGACCTTTATATCCATTCAGACACACACAATACCTATGCTGTGAGCTTGCCAGCTCAAATAACTATCACAAAATCTGTTCTCCACAGAGCTGTGGAATGCGGTCCGCATACAAATACAGTACCGAGTGGTGGAGAATATATTTCCATGAGCAACAACAGAGAACACCCAGAGGAGTGCCCAACAGATAGTACGTCCTAAAACAGCATTGTGTACCATCTGATCACCAATATTGATGTTGGTGTGTTTGCTATGACACACTGATCCACAACTTTCACTTAGAAAAAGGAAACTACCTTTATAAGTATCTTTTATTCAATACACAGTACATTTCTTGGCCAGCCTCTTTTTTTCAACAGCACTGTTTGTGTTGTCATCTAAAAATAGGCTATGGCTCCTCACCACGGAATAAATAGCTATTAAAATATGTTTGTTTTAACAAGCTCCTAAATGTTCTTCCCAGTGGGAAGCACACCTTGACTCAAGAGCAACACCTGGCCAGATGTGCTATTAAAATGAAGACTGTGTTCTTTTCTATAGTCCCATCTTCTTTGTTTTAGAATTCAGTTCAATATACTATAATAGACTTTAAATACTTTTGCAAGTAATATTTTTTGGAGACTTTCTAATTAAAAAATACTTGACACTCCTCTCCTTAACATCACATCAGAACCTCCCCATCGATCTTGGCAAGGTGTCGAGATCAAGGTTCCTCAATGACGAATTGTGTGTAAGGTCTTGCAGAGACAATGTCTTACTGGCTGAGAACCCCCCATAGACTGGGCATTGCTTTGTGTATTAGATCCTGTCTGTATTGTTCTTTTCTTGATTCACACCAGACTTGACATTTAAGAGGTTAAATCTTCATAAGTGACCAATCATTTTTTTTCACTCATGTGGTGATTAAGTGTTAATTCAGTTGTCATAGTCACAGTCACTCATTACACCAAAACCAAAATGACACCAAAACCATTTAATAAATGTCCCAAATCTGTATGCATTCTATTTCTAAAATCATATATGCAGTAAAATGTCTTTTGAAGCACAGTGCATAATCTGTCACAAAAATGCATGTTGGTCAGTTTCATATGCTTTATTATAACATCAGTAATCATGATGATATCGAACTGAATTTCAGTGAAATTAGCATTTTAATGGAAAATTGACCTTATGATAATAATAATAATTCTTACACTTTTGTTTCATAGTTCTTTTCTGGACACTCTACCAAGGAGAACTCCCCTCCACCACCACCAGTGTGCAGCCCCACTGGATGATGCAAAGGTAGAATCACCACACTTCAGCTATCAGTGGGGAGGAGAACAAAGTAATGAAGCCAATTCAAAGATGGGGATTATTAGGAGGCCATGATTGATAAAGGCCAGGGGGAAATTTGGCCAGGACACTGCGGTAACACCCCTACTCTTTTCGAGAAATGCCCTGGGATTTTTAATGACCACAGGGAGTGAGGACCTCAGTTTTACATCTCATCCAAAGGACAGCACGTTTTTACAGTGTAGTGTCCCTGTCACTATACTGGGACATTAGAACCCACACAGACTGCGCCCCCTACTAGCCCCAATAACATATTTTCCAGGAGTCTCCCATCTAGGTACTGACCAGGCTCACTTCTGCTGAGTTTCAGTGGGCCGGTGGGCTGATAGTTGTGGAATTGCAGGGTGATCTAGCTGCTGGCATTAAAATTTCTGTTTGTTCGCATAACATTTTAAATGGCTACCTTTGGAAATGATAGGCTGAGACTGAGATCCCCAACCACCATCGTGGCCTTGAAATAGTTAATGTTATAGTACTGTTCTACGTACTGTGCTCAAAAGTGATTTTGAATTTCCCAGAACTGAACGGTGCTCTGCGCTTGCCGTACAACGAGACAACACGCAGGCGCGTTTCTCTTCATGCCGAGTCCAGCAATGGCGTCCTCCTTGTGGATGTGCAGGTTATGTATGAGAGGATGGAGGAGTACTTTGAACAGCATAGAGAGACTGAATTTCACGTCGTGGAGACAGACAAGCTCAAGTAATGTAGCTGTTAAAAAAGAAACAACACGCCGGAAAGACGAACTTGGTATTAGACCTAAATATTTATACAGTACAATGTAAATGATGAAAACGTACCTGATTATGAGCTAGATTTTTGCAAACAACTTGTTTGGTCCACGTGAACGTTTAATAAAAAAACTGCCGGTGAAATCCTTTATAATATCTATGTACTATCGTCCTCTACTATGTACGAAAACTACTGGTGCCTCATTTAAATTTCTTTTTAGAGAAGGGATGAGGCTTTGTCAGAATAATTGAAAACAAACCTTTTTGAGATCTGTCGGGTGATTTTAGCGATATCAGTCAGATCTGTAACAGTCCTACGGTTTATGGTGTTGACTGTATTGTAGTACAAACTGACCAAGTTCTAACACCAGTTCGCGAAACGCTATCGATTTTTTGTTGTTAATGTAACGTTTGATGCCATTGAAAATTGCGTATTGAAAATATGAAATTGTTCACTACTTTTACCCGAATGAATGACAAGGTTCTGAAAGAGCACCTCTTAATTTTTCTGTCAGACTAATAATCGGATTAGTACATTCTAATTTGACTATTTTCCTTCAAGCATGTCAGGAGCACAATTACAAAATCAGCAGGATCAGACAGGGAATCCCCAAATTATATGTATATTATTGCAAGTTAAGGGAACAGTAGTGCCTTGAAAACTAAACTTAATACTTAATCATTTAACATTAGAACGTTTTTCAAACTCAAACCATCATATTCTCTTTAATTACTCTGTGTTGATTGTTTTAGCCTTGACTCAACGTTAATAAAATGTAAAAAATCATCCAAGATGATTGTATGGCATTTTCTTTTGGCCTCATGGGGCTATATGTATTATTTTCTTTTACAAGCAGAACCTGTTGATGAAAGAAAATCGTTTTATATGCTTCAAGAAGAAAGGCAGGAACAAGCAGAACGGTCTGTTCTTATAAGCTGCTCTCACAAAATCACTGAAAAAAGGTTTCTGAACTATTTATCAAGACATGGAGATATCAATACCTTCTTCTTCTATGAAAGTTTTGTAAGTACTTATACTTTACTTTACAGCAGGTGAGATTACTGTACTTTAGATCTGTAATCCACACAAATTCCTTTTTTGGAAGATGGAGAAGACTGCATTTTAAAGGATTTCAATGACTACAATGACTTTCAAAAGGCTACAGAAATTATTTTCTGTTTGTTTCTTTGTGCTCATTCTTATTTTCATTCTTTAGGTGTATTTGTTTTATGTACTGCTTAGGTCGTTTGGCTACAGATAATTTTTTCACATCGGGTAATGTCAAAATTGTAACCTTGATTATATATCATAGAATGTAAGTTGGCTCATGTAGTGTTCTTTTTCTTGAAGGGTGTGTACGCCGTGGTGGAATTTTCTAAGAAAGAAAGTGTTGCATCACTTCAGGATGGAGCCAGCATCCCCAGTATTGAGCATGAAGCGACTGTCCCTTTCAAGTCTAGACTTCTTTCACTTAAATTAAATAACCCTGTTGACCAGTCAGGTTCCCAGCCATCTGTACAGTGCCTACCACAATCTCCTGTTCCTATCAGTGAACTCATTCAGAAGCTCTCCAAAGCAGACAGTGTAAGAATTTACCTTTTTTACAACTCCAGCAATGTTTAAAAAATTATATATTATTTCAGAAAGCCTGTTTCTCAGATTGACTTAACATTCTCAGTGTTCTATAGTGGTACTGTAAACATCTTCTGGTTTCAGTATGTCGTGAACTTTTATTTTGTTTCCCGTTGTGTCATACTTCAAAAATTCAGAAAATGTGCAATTTGCCTATGGTAACATGCTTTAAGTATTGCGATAATGAATGCCAGAACTGGAAACGAATGGTTTTGAAAAAGAAAGTGTTTGCTATTGGAACCAAAGTTTATTAATTGGTATCTGCTGTGATAGGAGAGAACCTGTGGATCTTTATTACTACTGGAACAAGTTAGGGTTTATTCCACACTGAACAGTAGAAAGATTTTGTTTCAATGCAACATCAGAAATGTTTTTTTTCTCTTTTTCCCCACTCCAACTTCCTAACCTTCATTATATATGTTAAAAACTAAAATGTTGTTCTTATTTTTTTAGCCACAGCCAAATTGTTGGTGCTATAATACTGTATATTTCCAGGCTTAGGATTTTGGAAGTCAATATTGTACAATTGCTGATATCTTCAAATTGTATATTTGTTACAGGATCCTGAAGGTTGATGAATAACTGAAGGTCTTCTGTCTCTTTTTTTTAAATCTCAGATAGACCAACAATTATACACCCTTACAGATACCTACGAGTTGACTGAGGAAAGCATTCGGCTGCGCTTTTTAGTTTGCTCTTTACTGAAGGACATTGCAGCAGCATACTTTCCAGAATGCACAGTGAGGCCGTTCGGCTCCACTGTAAACCAGTTTGGGAAGCTAGGTTGTGACTTGGATATGTTCCTGGATTTGGATGCCATCAGTGGCAGGAATTTAAAGAAGGTAGACTACCATTTCCTTTCGTCATTTATTGCTTTCCCTTTTGTTGTCTGTTCAATTAGTGCATACTAAAGCAGAAATAACACACAAAGAGGTTTATCTAGGGTGGACGTCCTGCAGACTGATTGCATTACAGATGAAAGACTCATTTGCCCAAAGCCAAAGTTTAAATATATACAGAGGTATTGAAATGCAACAAATTCTATTGTTTTAAATGTAATGCCTTTCAGTGTATTATTATTATTATTATTATTATTATTATTATTATTTCGTGGATTCAATTAAACCATTCAGATTTGGATTTTTGGTCATAAAAGTATCATTGTTTTATGAATTTAGACAGTTTTGTGATGTATAAAGAGATTGAAGTAGTCAGCAGAAATTTTCATTCCCTTACAGGTCTCTGTTCCTTCATTTTCATTCATTATTTTTACTTTAATTAATAAATATCCGTTGGGCTTTGAAGCTCTGCAAAGTTATGAACCAAAGATCTGATCTTACTAAAGATAATGCTTTTGAAATTGAGGCTAATTTATATTTTAGATATAATGTAGAGGTCTTTCTTTTTAATTTGTATATACTTTATATCATTAGACAAATGAAATGTTTTTTTTCTGTATAATGAAATTATGCTTACAAGCTTACCTCTTATGCGGACAAGCTGAATTGCCTTACACGGTTGTTATACTGAAGAAGTGAGTCACAGGTGTGTATTGACTCCTAAAACTCATATAAGATCAGTTATAAGTCAGCTTTCTAACCCTCAAAAGCAAGAAGAGATACAGTTCTTAGAGTTCTGTTCCTAGATAGCTTATCGTTCCTGCAACTGCTGTGTGTAACTCAAATGAAGATAAAGTACACAGCTGGTCTTTACTTTAGTTAATTATAATTATATTATAATTGATTATACTGATTATTATAATTATAATTAAACCTATTTTTAAGAGAGTGGTGTAGAATATGTTTAATAAGACTCTTCGGAATCTCTCTTTGTAATATTTATTCAGGTACTTTAGTTTTTTTTTTATGTAATACAGCTTGAATATCAGCTGTCACACTATCCCATCTTTTAAAGGGCATATGTCGTTTGATTTAATTCCCCTTATTTTTCTAATTAGGTTGATTTTTTTAATAAAGCTTTAGATGTATTCTTGAAATACATTAAAAACTGTCAACTGAGCAGTGCATTTAGTAACACAGATTGCACAACACAATCAGTAACACAATAATTAATATACCAATGTCTTGAGCAGAGCAAATGAGAGGCATGTAAGATAACATGCTGTATGTGATGTACACTCTTTCTCATAGCTGCCCCAATGTGCTTAACAATAGTCATTGTACACAAAGTGCAATGACTGTTGTACAGTTAACGGTGCTGTTTCTGCTATCAGCAAAGCAGGTTCAGATCTTCTCATGTCTGTACTCCATCAGGTGACAGATCTCATGCCTTGCCTTCAGCTGCAGTGAAGAGTTTGAAGTAAGCCTGTAAAGATAAAGTGCACAAGGCCTAGAGTTGTGCTTGTCGCTTGGTGTACGCTGTGCCAGGTTAGTAACAGGCAGCTGTGAATTTGTCGTCTCGCAGACAGCAGGCGCCTTCTCCCTGGAGTACCAGATGAAGAGGGTTTCCTCCGAAAGAGCCGCCACGCAGAGCATCCTGTCAGTAATTGGGAAGTGCATTGAGCAGTTCGGTCCTGGGTGTGTCGGGGTGCAGAAGATCCTCAATGCCCGCTGTCCGCTGGTCCGCTTTGCTCACCAGCCCTCTGGCTTCCAGTGCGACCTGACGGCCAATAACAGGTGAGTCTCCCGGACTGAGGGGAGAAGGCCTGTGCAGACTAAAAATGACTATCTGTTTTTTATGAAGGCTTGATTGGTCTGGAGTTTAGCATGCCGTTTGCAGGCTGTAAATAGGGGTAAAATACATGGAAGGTCCATATCATACCCACACATTTTGTGGATAAGGTTTACCCATGGTCAAATTGCAGGGACCTATATCTCATCCGGCTGTGAAGGAGGTGCAATATCTTTTTGGCTGTCTTTCAGTTTCCTTTATTCTTGATGAACATATGTAGGAATATACTGTACCATGTACTGTACATAGCGCACAGTAAGTTCTGGACCTGTAGAACCAGGAAACTAAATAGATACATCGAATTATAGATAGTTTTTCCACACTGACGTTTGTGGCCACTGTAAAAGCATCCTGCACTTCAGAACTCTGAGCAGAAGAGCATGTTTTTCACTTCTGCTTTTCATTGCTGTATGGTTACTGTGACATTTGTTACTTTAACCCACCCTATGCAAATAAGCAGAGTTCTAAATGACTTGACATTTAGTATTTTTGCTTCCGCCCAGAAGTTCCTCAGTGATGCAAGCTTAATGAGGTAGCAGTAGCAGCTTTAGAATTGGAGCCTTATCTTTTAAAGTGTCCTTAAATACCAGCAAACACAAAGCTGAGGAGGTCTTTGGAAACTAATTCTGCTGTGGGGAGTAGTTTACAAACTAGTCTCTCAGTGAATGGAGTGCAGAATTAGGCTTGTGACACACCTCTGATACCTGATACAGACGACATTGAAAAGGAGTCCATGTGATGCATAAATTAACAGATTAGACTCGGTAGTCTGCTGCATCTTAAGTATTGTATTTGTATAGGGTGCATATAAATTCTGAGTTTACTTTTTTAGATTTTGTTTTACTTTAACCAGGTGAATTGCAGGATAAGTTCAGCTTGTTCAGTTAATAATTACTGGTCCAATGTCGTAATTTAATGTCTTAATTACCGATTTGTATTTTTGACAAAACAGCCCAATTTGTATGAACTGTTTTCAGTATTAAAGTTTTTTTACACAACATTTTAAAAGTAATAAATGTCAAATATAAAGGTATAAAATTAAATGTTGTACAAGTTTAGAATACTGTTGCCATCTACTGGTAGACAGGGGAATGATGAAGAAAGGTAAAATTATTTCCTGTTCATGTTGTTTCAGTGTTACAGACCCATGTTTGAATAACATGACCGGGATTTGTTTTCTCTTACTTATGTATTTTGATCCCAAGGCATACTTTTCGAATATAGACCTTGAGATAGAAAGATTCTCTTATAAAATTTAATGATTTGTTAGGTACCCCATGAAACATTACAAATAAGAGCCTATCAAGGTAATTTCGTAGTTAGTAGCTAATAAATCTCATCCATCCATTTCTTGGAAGAAATCATCAGCATCAAAACAGCTAGGTAGCTTATTCAAATACTCCCACAACCCAAGAGTGGGAATTCTGTGACACTGTATGTCGTACAATATTGGCAGAACATGAACATTTCCACATGCTCCTTTCCAAAATCTTTCTAGTTTCCTTTTCATTTTATGTTGAAATGATATTAGAACAAATGTTAACAATGTTATGCAATCTCAGCGTTTGTATGTGAAACTGAGAGAGGAAGCCGAACAGCGTTGTGTGCTGATCTGTTTCACCAAAGAGACCTGAAACTACTTTTTTCCTTCACGAAAGCCTTGTGGTTTCCTGGCCCCTATATATCCATATATCCAAAGCAGTGACGACTCTGTTTTCTCAAACAAGACACCAAGCAGTAGAATTACAAGCCTAATACTTCCACTTCCTAATGATCTCACTTTAACCTCCTTCTTGATTTGTTATTGAGGAATGTCATTGGATCTAGGTCAAAGAAAAATAGCTTGCAAAGCACTTTGGGACTTTTTTTGCATCAAAGGATTATATAAAATGTACTATGATGATTGCTTGGTTGTTGTCAGTGAGACATTGTGTGCATTTTCTAATATAGTTATATTTAAAGTGTTGTGAAATCACTCTAAATTCTTGCTGAAATTATTTCATTTAATTAATTAGCAATTAATTCCACACCACAGTGTTTTCTTCAGGATTAGCCTGGCTTTGATGAAAGCTCCCAGCCCAACTCGTGCATTCTACCCCCGTTTTCACAGCAGCGTTAACACATTGAAGTAAAGGTGTGCTCCTCCTGGCACCAGAGGGGTCGCTGGCCCTGTGTGGTCTGGTCTGGTCTGGTGTGCGCTCAGGCATGCTGTGTGTGTCCCCTCTCCCTGCAGGATTGCCTTGAAGAGCTCGGAGCTGCTCTACCTGTACGGGAGCCTGGACCGGCGGGTCAGAGCCCTGGTGTTCAGCGTCCGCTGCTGGGCTAGAGTTCACGGCATCACCAGCAGCATCCCGGGAGCCTGGCTCACCAACTTCTCCCTCACCGTGATGGTCCTCTTTTTCCTGCAGAAGAGAAACTCTCCTGTCATACCCACCCTCGACAGACTGAAGGAGCTAGCAGGTAGACATTTCACATGCGCTCTGACTGAGATTAATAATAATAATAAAAATAAGTTTTCTGGACACCACCACCAATGTGCAGCCCCACCTGGATGATGCAACGGGCGCCAAACTGCTCCTGTATGCCCACACACGTGCTTTTAGTGGGAGGAAGGGCACAGTACTGAAACCAGTTCATAGATGGGGATTATTAGGAGGCCATGATTGATAAAGGCCAGGATACTGGGGTTTACACCCCTTGTCTTTTCGAGACAAATCCTGGGATTTTTAATGAACACTGGGGCTTGGGACCTCAGTTTTTATGTAAGATCCAGAGGATGGTGCCTTTTTACAGTACAGTAAAAGCTGCTGGAATTTTAGTTTTCTGTGTTATTTAAGCATATTTTTACCTTTACCAAATTAATATATTCCTACTTGCTAAAGCCTAAATATGCTCAAATGCCATCTTAATAAGAAAAAAACAGTAAATAATAACTGGTCACTGGTTTTTCGTTAACAAAGGCCTATTTCAAAACTTCAATACGAACTTTTGCCAACTTCTTTGCAACACTATAAACAGCTATATGTTAAATATGCTGAAACTATTTCCTTATGTAATCATACAGTGTTATAATGGTGTACAATACTATTCTACAGTCGATGAATTGTACATCCTTTGTAAGTTACGATTGAGTTGTGATTCTGGTGTGTATTTCTAATTTATGGCGATGTGTTACATTTACATAGGTAAGGACATTGTGACAGGATAGATGGCTAAAACTCACCTGTTGATTAAAATGGCACTCTGTGGTTCTCTGAAATAAGACCAGTAAAGCTTAGCTTTCATGTCATCGTAGTGTTTTACCATTCCCCTTAGCTAGATGCAGTTTACAATTAGATAAAAAGATCTTGTCCACTGCATTGCATTCTTTAATGGAATAAAAAAGATTTTTGTCTTGCAATTTTGACAAGTTTTTGTTTGTTTTAAAAACTGCGATGTCTATTTGCTATCAACCTTCTTTACTGTTTCTTCCTTATATGCTGTACATGTGAAAAGGGGTGATGAATACCCTGATGAAGAATGTAGGCTACATCTTTGAACCACTGCCTAAAAATAAGAAAAGTCTGTACTTTACTTATATCTTCATATAAATGAATGTTTTTAACATTAAGTTAATATATCAGCTGACACACACAACCTTCCCCATTAAAGGAGTACACTGTGTACTGTCATCCCTCTTAGATAGTCTGTTGCATATTTAAGAGGAGGTTTAGTGTTGCAAAGAAGTTGTCAAATCTAGGGTTAGAAAAAATTAGCAATAACAGTGGTTTGGAAAATGAAGGCAATTTGTAACTAAAAACCAGTTGCTAGTTATTTATTGGACTTTTCTGAAAAAAATCAATAAGATATCAAGGATCCTAGGAGATGAAAATCAGAAAAGGAGAGGATAGCATGAAAGACTCACACACCAACACAATTCATGGACAATCACTTGCACTTTGAACAAGATGTAGTCTAGTCTTTGTAGTCTAGGTCTTCTGTTATCCAATTATTTCCTCCTTAGACCAGGTGCCAGTGGTCACCAAATGAATTGAGCAGTGCAGTCTTACGTTTTCATAAAAACATTAATATATGATTTTATTCTGAAAACTGAATTCTCTTTAACGTGATCCCTAACATTCAACTCATTGAATTTCAGATGCAGTGAGATCTTATAATTTTATGAAACATTGTTGGTTTTTATACCCTTTTCCACTAATTTGATTATGTTATAGAAACTCAAACCCACTGTGAAGAATAAAGGATGCATGTTTTGCATTGACTTTTAAAAATGCATATTTTGTGTTTCAATAAGGACCCATGGATAAAGTTACCATTGAAGGGAACGACTGCACTTTTGTTAGCAACCTCAGCAAGATTAATGTACCAGAAAACACAGAAACCTTAGGTGGGTAAACGTCAGTGCTATTTTGTAGTGTAAATATACCTTTATAGTTCTATCATTCTCATATATGTCTTCCTCTCTTTGTAGAGCATCTTCTTCAGGAATTCTTTGAATTCTATGCAAACTTTGCCTTTGGTAGATTGTCCATCAACATAAGAAAGGTAAGACTCTGTCATGAGCTTATACTGTAAATAATCTCGAAAACGTAGGGAATGTTTGATCAGTTTTGCAAACAGACCAGAAGGACCAGTATGTCATTCTGCTTGACCCAGAGCAGTTGCCCGTATTTCATTTTAATAGGGATGGTACGTAAGCAGCTGGAATAACGCTTAGAATTTGGAGCGTGTGGTACAGGTTCATACACCTGTGGAAAGTTCATAGAAGAAGGTACACCAGAAACGCAAAAAATAATTTAAATAATTGTGACTATTGTGCAGCAGTAGTTGTTTAGAAGGCTTGCACTTACAAGACATTTTAAATAATGCGTTGTCTGTGAGCTGTGAGTGTAAGAACACCCCTTTTGCTACAGTTCACTGTGATGCCAGGTGGGCTTGGTTACAGCCTCTACCTGCTAGAGAGTAAATTGGGCACCTGCCCTGACTGACTGATTGGACTCCTGTGGAATGGAATTCTCCAGGCAGGAAACGGTTCGTGTGTTTGGCCCTCTGGGTAATTGGACATTCCTCAGGAGAGCAGTCAGAGTATATCTCCAGGCAGGTGCAGAGGTTTGGGAGTTGTATATAAGCTCCTGCAGTTCAGGGAGGGAGTTAATAGTTGAACAGCAGAGAGTTTAGATAGCATAGGACACATTTTCTTCCCCTGTGCTTTAACAGAGGCAGTTCTAACAACAGTTTAAGCTTGTAGAGTTAGACAGAGATAATAAAAAAAAAACTTGCACAGGTTTTGTTATGGATTGGATTTAGTAAAGCATTTAGTAAAGTATTTTAATTATAATTCTCCAGAGTCTCTGGGGAGCAGTAGATTGGTGCTGTTAATAGTTGGAAACTGGGTGCCAGTGGATAAGCCAGGCAAAGCGTACCAGTAGGACTCAGGGGAGATGGGGAACATGCTTCTTCCTGTGAAGAGAAGACTGGCTGTGGAGTTGTAAGGAAGAAAAACTGAGAACCAAGAGGAGCTTACCTGTTCCTGCTTTCCTGATGATTTTATTGAAGATCGAAGAGCTGTTTTGCAGGAGATGAAGAGAAATTGAACAGACAGTGCTATAAATGCCTCAAGAGTGATTGATTGTTTTTTGGGACTGAGCAGGTTTTTCCGAAAGGAGACTACCGGTACATCGTAGGAGCCCGGGGGGGCTCCATCAACCAAACGCTGATAGATCACCCACAGGCGCACGCGTCATCTGGCGCCTTGCCGGCCTGGGGTGTTTGTGGTTGAGGCGTTTGCATTCACCTTTCACTGGAGTGGTCGTGAGGATTCAAGGGCTCTCAAGGACCTTGTTGACCGTGGACTTCGTGTTCCAAGGTATAGAGTGAGGAGCTCTTTCAGCATGAGAGCTGCAGAGGAACAAGTAGAGGTTCATTCCACGCTGAAGAGTAAAGCAAAAGCGGTGACAGCTTTGTGGACTTCGAGCTGTGTGAAGGCACTCTAAGGCAGTTCAGTAAAATCAGCTTCACCAGGGCTGGAGGTCTGACGCTGGTGTGTTCGTAGAAATAAGCACAGCTTTGCAGGTATCTGCTTTAACGGGACCAAGCAAGTGTGGCTTTAAGAAGACACTTCGGAAAGGACGGCCTGGGATTCAGTTTTCAAAGGCTTCTCAAGGGGAATTCAATGGGATAAAATAGCTGTCCTGCTTTCTTTGTGGTCATCGTGATTTGTGCCTGTAGGGATTTACATAGCAATCTGAGCGGGAGAACCCAGTTTGTGCCTGTCAGATGGAGGATACCCAGTTCTGTTCAGTCCCCAGTGCGCAGTCCAGTCTGGGAAAGCCGCTGTTACAGTATGTTCGAGCTGTCGCGAATTGGGATGGCACTTCTGACCATCAGCCCTCACAGCCTGTGTTTGCTCTTCAGTTAAATGGGATACATGGATATATGGGCAGGCTGGCCCTTTTAATCCTTCTGACTTTTTAGTCAAGCAGAGGCAGTGAGATTGTGCGTGCAATAATTAATGATTTCCATTTATTTTAAAACTTGAACTAAATCCTACCATTTTATGCCGCAAATCACAGCCTGGTTCAAAGTTTTCCTCATTTCAATACCTACTCTATGTGCTTTAGTGTTTGTGAATGGTGACGGATAACTGTGTTGAACCCTCTGGTCTTCTCACTCCACCTATAGGATTTGTAATCTTATTCTTGTTTGTTTTTTTCTCGTAGAACCACAATGTAAATTGTGTCTCAAATGTGGTAGAAGTACTCTAAATGTACTTCTGATATTGTTATACATTGTACAGGGCAGCTAGTAAGGCTTTTAAATCAATTGAAATCATTTGGGGATGGAAATTTAACTAAAAGTAAAATTGGGACCTGAACCAGTGTGCTGATGAAGCACATTTCTAAAAGTTAAAACACATGGGGATTGATGATAGAATTCAACCACATTACAGATATATCTGCTGTGGATACTTATACACTGTAGCTGGGATTTTAAACTATTCTGACATTTGCGTTTCATGAAAGCACATTTTCATCTCAGTTTACGGCAAGATTTGAGATAAATGCCTGAACGAGGGTTAAACTTAGCCTTTCCACAACATGGACATGTTTGTGTCTTTGCTATGCGTTAGGATGAATTTTGAATGCAGGAAAAGTGTGTTTTTGCTGTTTCAATTTTTGGGCCCAATATTTGCATCTTTTTTCTACATGCTAAACTTTTGTTTTTTTGCATTTCAATGCAAACATTAGGTTACGTTTAGCCAACCTTTAGGGTTAGGATTACAATTACCACTAACGTTTATACGAACGTTATTCCTGTGATCAGGGAGACTTTAAAAAAAGTAATGTTACTGAACCAAATTAGTTTACAGATCTACGTTTAGTTTTGTGCTGCTGCCTTGTTTGAATTGTGATTTTCTGCCATGGATGGTTCAAGCAGTGTGCGGTGAAGCCCGTTCAAATACAACGTTTTGTCTTTAAAGGCTCTTCCAATCCTGGTGTCCATGGGTGGCGAGCCAGAGCAAGACAAGTTCCACATTGAATGTTCTTGCTCCAGTACGACCCCCTGTTGTTATTTGCCAGCAGAGTTATGACGTTCTCTCCCTCTAACTCAAGTGAATAATGTCAGGATTGTAACTGCTGGTTTTCATTATGCGAGTAAAAAATCTCCACTTTTTCAGACCAGAAAACATAATGTGAGAACTGTTTGTTCAGATAATGATTCCGTACCTGGGAGTTTAGATGAAAGGAGCACAAGCAGACACACTGGTTCTGTCAGGCCAAGGTTGGGAATCTCTAACTAGACCATTACAAAGCAGCGGCTGCCATATTGTCACCCTCCCTCCTCTGCCCTGCTAGTGGTGTGCCTCGTCTGTGCAGTAACAGGGCTGTTCAGTCCTGCAGTTAGAGTCGGCTCTATTCCCCCTTGCTAATTTGATTCTGACTTACTGTCTCGAGAGAGGACTTCGCAGTATGCCCAGTCATGCCAACTGCTCATGGCAAGAGCTAGGGGCTGTATTTTAACACTGGTCACCAGAGATTAAAGCTTGGGAGACATTTAAATACAATTGGATTTGCTTTACCCATCGTTGGGGACATGGATGGGACTTTCAGAAGAGTGTTTCCTTATGATCAGAAATGTCTTGGCTTCATCTTCAGTGTTGCACCTGGTATCTTTTTTTTTTCTCGTAGGGTAAGGAGCAGAACAAGCCAGATGCCTCCCCCTTGCACATCCAGAACCCCTTTGAACCATCTCTCAACGTCAGCAAGAATGTGAACCAGACCCAGCTGGAGAGGTTTGTGGAGCTGGCCAAGGAGAGCTCCTGGATCCTGGCGCAGGGTGAATCGAGGAGCCCCTCCAGGACTGGGGACCAAGCCTGGGGCCTGGCTGCTCTCCTGTTGCCCTCCGTCTCCCAGCCGGGAAAGAGCCGGAAGAGGAGGAAAAGGGAGCCTGCCAGTGAAAGGATAAAGAGCCTGCTGGAGTCTCTAAAGACCAATAAGTTACATGGCAAAACTACTGGAAATACAGTGAGCAGTGAGAGGACAGTTCCTAACAAGTCCCACTAGAGGGCACTGTGGAAATTATTTCCCTTCCCTACACTGTGTATTGAAGCCTCTCCTGATAGGATAGGAGAAAAACTAGATATGTCAAGGCAAACTGTTCTGCACCTTCACCGGACAGGTTTGCATATAGAAGAAGAATACCCGAAGTCTTAAAAAGTTTTAAGATTTTAAATTTTCTTCTTCAGTGGATTGCCATGACTGATTTGTATGTTTTTTTATGGTTTCCATACGTGTATGTTTGTACAGAAAATATTCATTTTACGAGAAGGCATGCATATAGAGAGACTCTCCCATGCATACTTTTATAAGCTTCCACAAAAAATAAATACCAGCTTTTATTAATCAGTTATAGTACTCTTGAGATTATCTTGAAACATAATTAGGGATGTGCAAAAAAAAATGAATATTTCATGAAACTAAAAAAAGCGTTCAGGAGCATGAAAGACTGTAAACCCATTTGTCTTTACTAATTTGTTGGTATCTTGATTAACAGGTTTCTCTGGTAGGAAAACATGACTTAAAATGACCTGTATAAAACAAGGTGTAGTAATTTTGTTTTGATATGTACCTATAATGCTGTACAGCAATTCTACAGCAATTCTATAGTTTTTGAAGCTTACATTGGCCAGACACATCTAATTCTCAAGGACCACATAAGTTTTACCAGACCAGGCTCCACAGTTTTTCAGTATTTGGTAAACATTCCCAGTGTTGTCTTTCAGGGAGCTGCAGAAATAAACTTTTGCACATGTCCGTACATTTTTTAATTGGGTGTTCAGATTGCAAACAAGACTTTCTAGCTTTGGGGTTTCTGTAGACTTTGTGGGGCTGCCTGTGGTTTTCTTTGTTTGAACTTCCTCTGATGTATTCTAGTGTGTAAACAAAATAAGAGGCATTTGTTCCACTAAACAAATTCTGAGCATAAAAATCTTGTTTTTACATATTGTTGTATTTAATGTAAAATGTCAAACTTTCTTATTGCAAGTTGAAACGCTCATGGGAGCTGAGCAATTCCCTTTAAAAACCTAAATTAATTTGCTGCAAAAAAGGGAATATTTGTTGCCTAAGCCTTTCAAAAACTGTGATGTGTAGTTATGTGTGGATAAACTAGCTGTTAAGTAATTGGCCTATGGAGTTGACTATTTCAAGAATAGATATTAATTGCTGTTCAAACAGTGTTCTCTTAACAGTAATTGAGCAGTTGTTTTAATACAGCAACAAATACTAATCATATATTAAATTATACTGTAGTTTCATTAGGGTAACTATATTATAAAATTCTGTACCTTGTTGTAAAATTGTTTCCCTAGGGAGATCCTTTATGGAGTCATTTAGCTCCAAAAGAGTAAATGACTCTATGGTGTATGAAGATGTTTTAGAAGAATCACTGCATTGAAAACACGCATAGTTGCACTGTTTCTCAGCTTAGTATGATGCAAGTTTAACAATTAAAATCCCTTTTGTCATCCCACCCAATAGCCCAGAAAACAAGCAAGTGAGTTGAATGTGTTTCATTGTCTTGTTTTTGTCATGGATCACAAAGACTTCGGGTAGAAGTTTGTAATACTTAACTAATGGTCTCCCCAGTTACAAGGTGCAATTGCAAGGTGAGCTTTATAAATACACAGGTACCTCCTGACCTCCTATAATGGACAGCAGCTGTCCTCATAAATTAATTTCTCACTTCTGCAAGTCATGTCTTCAGCAAGGACACTCAGAATTTGCAAGGTAGCTGGAATTGGCTGTTTAATTCATATTTGTAAAAAGCCAAGTAATACTAATCATTTATTGTGCTCATTAAGGCGCAGTACTGTACGGGCTGGTTGACCTGACACAGTTGTGAATGCCCTTTTATGTATGTAGTGCTCTGAATGTCAGGAACGCATCCAGACGTTAAGTTAAGTGGCGATTTATTGCCCACACTGCTGGATTAGTAAAGATAGATTTGTCCTTTGAACACTATAGACTAATGACGCAAGGAGTATGTTCAAATGGGGTGGAGCTGTGGCACTGTGACTAAGGATCTGCAACTGTGGCTGCAAGGTTGCCGGTTCAAATCCCTCGGCTGGCAGAGGAATCCTACCCCGTTGGGCCCATAGCAAGGCCCTTAACCCCAGTTGCTCCAGGGGCACTGTATAAATGGCTGACCCTACACTCTGACCCCAAGCTTCTCTCTCCCTGTCTGTGTGTCTCATGGAGAGCAAGCTGGGGTATGCGAAAAGACAAAATCCTCATACAAGAAATTGTATATGGCTAATAAAGTGATCTCTCTCTCTTATAAATGGAAGGTGTAGCCTAAGTGTTTTTGGTGGTCTCTTCCTCTCCTAGTTTTAAAGAGTTTAGAGGCTATGTGAGGGGCAGAAGGTGAAGAGAAGATTAAGATAAAAGAGATGGGGTTTGCTTTCAGCTTAAAAGTTGAGAAGCTTCTCACAACCCACAGCTTTTTGGTAGATTCAGTCTTTCAATCTTGCCGTTTTAGAAAAGCTTACTATCCTTTACTTATGCCTCATTATGAAAAAAAGGAATCGTTTTTTTTTTCTAAGGAACAAGTATCAGATGTTTCAAGGCTTAGCTGATATATCCAGAACCACGTAACCAAATCAGAAAAGATCATTGGGGAGTGAAACAAAATTGCTTTTCAGGAGCCAACAATCTACAGTGCGTAGATGAAGTTCATAGTTTAAAGGCATTCCATTTAAATGGAAAGTATTTAACTTAATTTAAAAATAATTGATCATGCAATTCTAAATAGATATTTCTCATTGTGTAATTCATTTGTTAATCTTTAGTCTTTACCTTTCTGTTGGTGGTGTCTATTGTTTTACTGGCAAGTGTGAAGCTGCTATTCCATTACTCAGCTGTGATTTACAAACAAAGGCCTTTGCGTTTGGTAAAGCAATCTGTAGTCACTTCCTCCTCAGTTCCATGAATTGTTTTAGTGACATTGTGTAAACTTTCTAGTTTAACTTCCTCAGCCTGTGGAGGATAAGTTGGTTTCTTCAAGTTATTTTCCTTTGCTAACATTCAACCCATGAAAGAGACATTGTCCAATTTTTTGTCAAAATGGGAATCTTTTATTTTATCTAAAGAATCCTTTCAATCCATACGTTTTCATTTTGGAAGACCTGCATCCTGTTGTATTATTTGAAATTTCACACATGCGTGAGCCACGTTTGGTGCTGCCGACACTTGGATTTTGATGACAGAAAACTGCTCACACTCCTGTTTCATGACCTTAAAAATTAGAAATTTCTAAAGGGAGAAAAGCAAGACAGGCAGTAGAGCAGTGATTTATTATTCATGTATAGTTTGTGCAATATATATGCATTCACTTATGGTCTGGTATTTATTGAAGGTGGGAAGAACAATCAATTTTCTGACAGAATTTATCCAAGGTCACAGGCTGACTTATGCCTGTGTGCTTTGCAGGATAGTGAGTTTCTCAATCGCAGTGGGCAGTGCTGTACAAAGAGTAGCAGCTCTGTAAATGAACACTTCCACAACTTGATGAGTCCAACTCGGTTTCCACACAGATTATTGCTAGTATTATTATTATTATTATTATTATTATTATTATTATTACTTAGCACATTCATTCTTGATCGTAACATGTTAGAGGTCTTTTATCGTCCCAGTCAGCACTTGTGAACAGATTCGGTGGTGTTGTTGATGTCCTGTCCCAGCAGAGAGACCCATGGCTTTTGGACTGGGTCCAGTTTAGGGCTCTGAAAAGGACACCGATGAGTCACTGTGGAAATATGTGTTCAACACTCCACAGATTTGCTTTTTGTTTTTGTAGCTAATCAACATCAGCCAGAGCGCAAAGCTGAGTGTTTATTTTTTATATCAAGGCGGGTGGACACTAGCTGTAGAAAAACAGTTGGCAATGCTCTTCATTAAAGTATATTTATTTTACTGTATTTTATGCGCACTGTCATTTTGGAAAAGCTGATCATAGTTATCTGAAATCATGCTGTAGGGTAGTTCTTTAGGCCTTAACCCCAGTTATTATTTTTTTCGAATAATTGAATCTTCAGTAATCTTCTATATTTTCAAACATCATTGCCTTGCAACTACAGTATGTTTCTTGGATGAACCTGCTGTACTTGGTAAATCCTGTTTGTTCACATGTATCTTCCTTTTCTTGGTTTTATGGTTATTTGATTAAATTTCTGTATGTTGGTGGTTTGTTTTTGGAGCTGATGACAGCAGTTGTTCAGGCTAATTTCAATAATTAATCATTTTAATAAATGCAGTTACCATTAACTCTGTGATTAGATTAGAGCAGATATTCTCTTCTGATTATGGTGGGTTGCCATACATCAGGTTATATGGATAATGCACAATCTTCAGTAGCTTAAAGGCCTGTTAACAGTGGTATTCTACACCAGTTTGATTCAAATAAAGTTTCCTGCCGTGCTGCTCAGTTTGGGCGAACTGATCAGAAGAATTCCGGCGTTGTACAATGCATCTTCTACTTCTGAATGATCGGATTTGCTGTGCTGATCGGCACATGTTTTTCTACTTTGCACTTTGAATCTCTACTACTTGGTTCCTGACATGTTTTCAAGAGCTCCTTGGTGTTCGGTTTCTGGATGCATTTTTGACCTTTTTCAATTTGGAGTACTCTGTTTATTTTACGTATACTGTCTTGATTTGAAAGCTTTGTGAAGCACATTCAGGTTGAAATAAAACATGAAAGTACTGCAGGACAGGTAAATACATCTGCAGACTGCTGCACAGTTCTGTAGTGGGGCTTAAACTCATGTCCTTCCCCTGTTTCGTGTCGAGCCTTCTCAGAAGGCAGCCTGTATTATTGTAACATGTTAGAAGTCCTCTGTATCTTTCCTCCTGTGTGTTAATATTCAAAGTATTCATTTTTGAAAGCCGAAATTAGAAAACAAAGGTCACTCAGTCTATTCATATCATGGGACTTTCAGTTGTTTTCTGGTGTTTTTCCCCTTGCAAAGTTTTGAGGCATCAAAAGGGCATTTGAGGCATTAGGTTTTAAGTGATCCTCTTGGTTGAGATGCTGAACCGTTGAGATTTATATGGATTATGGAAAGGATTTGGAATTTACATGTGTACTTCTGAACCCTTTTGCTATTTTCTAGCGTGTCTGTAGCTGATAGTTTCTCTGGGTGGTATAATCACCCCTGATAGCACTTTATCTTCATAATTAAGTTCCAGCGGGTGTTTGTAAGTTACAGAAACAGCCAGCTAGATGGTCATTCAATCGTCGAGGTGGTGGAATGTAATTTTCAGAGTTTGCTCTTCGTCTCTGTTGCAGGATATAATTGAAGAGTGCATCTGAACGTTCAGCTGCCGCAAAGGGACCTATTGTACTGTGTAGCCGACTGGCTGCAGGCCAACAGCATCATCAGCTGAGTACTGTCCTTGGGAGCTGAACCCTAGATAGACCTCCTCTGAATCTGTGGGTCTGCATCAGCTTAATCTATTACCAGTAACAGTCCTGACAATTCTATCACCCCTACACTCTGCAGCTGGTGTGACTTCTCGCACGTCTGCTTTCCTGTGGAGCCTCTGTGCATCCTTCTTCCAGGACCATGAGATCGGCCACAGTGGGCTCAGTTGCTGTTGTAATATCTGTGCAACTTGTTCCGACCGGCTCCGTTGGCGTTGGTGTTAGCAAACACAGGTGGAACGGCTTCCGTCTTGTGCCATGAGCCCAATGCCTTCTGGTCTGCTCTTACAATCTGAGTAACGTAAGAGGAGAATGAGTTTTGCTTTTTTGAGATGTCTGTTTTTATGATGGAAGTACAATATGTGGCGCAATTCTTTTATATTTTTAATAGCTTCCATTTTTTTCTCTTCCTTTACTGGAATAACTTGAAACAACCTTTAAGTTCACACATGTCCAGTCCATAGATGAGTGCTTTACTTAAACCATGATAGATATGTCCCTTTAAATATTGTAACGCATATTGCCGACATTACAGGGTGTGCGAGCCGGCTTGCCAGCGCGGTGACGTCACCGCCCTCCCCTGTAAATAGCAGGGACCTCAGCTGTCAGGCTGAGGGGAGATTTCCCTTTAGCTCAACTGGCTGGGTCCCTGTTGAGTAACACAGGGGACCCAGGTTCAAGTCCCCAGCAGTGGGAGGACTCGAGAGGACCTGAGGCGGCAGTGGCGAGAGCACTACAATATGCTAGATTTTTATTACTTCAAAAACTGAAAACAGGGGAGCACACAAACACAAAAATGCCACAACCTTGATACTGAGGGCAATGCCCAAAATATGACACACTGCTTTGTGTCCTCCAATATGCCTTAAATTGTATGTTGACAAAATTAAGCTTTGAATAAGAATTTTACATATTTTATGCTCTACTTATTTGTAGGAATGTTATTGCCAGTACGATTGCTTCAAATTTATGATTCTTTATGTTTTTTTTAACTCCCTGCTTAGTACCTTTAATATATGAGCACCCTCTAAAATTAACTGTTCCTTTAAACAATATAATTATTAGTAGAGAAACCACTTTACAAATAAAGTGTTAGATTCTATAATACGATTTTAAAATCTTTTGTTAGATTTTACTATAACAGATCAGTGATAATATATTTTCACTTTGTCATTTTGCTGGCAACAATTTCAGCAATTATACACAACACATTTAAGAGCAGTTTCATTCGCAAGTACTTGTCTTTGTTTATATTTATTACTTCTTTATTCTTCCATCATTCCACTGTTAAAGAATATAAATCTTTACCCATGTTAGTCAGCTCTCAATTAACTGAAATATTGGCTTGTAATGTACCTAATTTAATTTAAGCAAGATGTGCATTTCTTAGAAGCAACTTAGAAGAATGTGGCACAGAAAGGTATTCAAAATGAAATTGGAAAGACTGATTAAAATAGCTGTAAGGGCACTGTGTTATGCTATATGCTTCTGCAATCATGATAACCCCATCTGGAAAAGGAAAGGCATTTTTGGAAATGTAAGGGTGCTTCAGGGGAACAAGATTAACCTTTGAACAAGAAGAGCATTCAGAATTTTAATAGCTGTTCTTTGAGTATAGAAAAGGGAAGATGCAAAATCAGTTTGAAAGCTCACCGTGCGTTCGTGATAGGCAAATGTCAAGTTGTCTGTTTGAAAGCAAGTTCAACTAAAAAAAAAAATGATAGAAAAAATAAACACTAAAGAGACAGAAAAAAGTGTTACAAAAGTCTTAAATCATACATCTGTGTGTTATAGCTCCAGGTTCTAATGGGCTTTCGGCAGACACTGAGGAACAAAAATAGATCACAACTGTGGCTGATGACACTTAATAGATATGTTGAAATAAAGTTGCTTCCAGGCACAGACTTGTGATCCTATTCTGTGACCTCACTGGCTTTCTTTGTAGTAGGAGACAAGCACAGTAACAACCAGGGTATTTTCCTCGCTGCTCCTCTGCGGTGCCAGGGTAGATCTGTTCTTCCTGTGAACTCAATGAAATTTCACCGATGCAAAACCTGCACAGGAAAAGGCAGTTTTGTGGGGGGACAGCTCACAACATGACATTTTAACACAGCCCTCATGATTGTCTCTTCCAGTAGGTTTTGTGACATATCAACCATCAGGAATGGTGTGCCCTAAATGGACTTTTATTGCCATCCATTTCATCTATTTTCTAACCAGTTTATCCAATTCGCGGTCACTGAGGAACTGGTGCCTGTTCTGGCACGCAACAGCTGCAAGTCAGGGTACACCCTGGACAGGATGCCAGTCCATCACAGGGCAGAAACGGAGACACACACTCACACTAGGGCTGATTGTCCCAAAAGCCAATTAGCCTACCAGCATGTCTCAGGACTGTGGGACGAAAGTGGCACATGCAGCAAAAACCCATGAGAACACAGGAAGAATACACAAACTCTGCGCAGGTCTGGAATTGAACTCAGGGGCCCAGCGCTGCAAGACGACAGCTTTAACAACTACACCAGGGTGCATGTCGATAAATTTCCATCCAGAGACCAGGGTGGCTGTCCTGGACATACTGTACTAATCGGCGATGTTTGTCAAACTGATCAACAGTACATGCTTTATTCAAAAGTCTGTTTTGTTACCTGCGTTTACAATACTGGGAGAGTTAGAGTATATTATCATTATAGTTTTTCTTCACATTTGTATTACTATTGTTTCGCTTTATTGTTTCCTCTAGTCCTCACAATGAAATGAATATAGTGAGTAATTCTGTCTTCTAGATTTTGGATAGATTAGTTAGGTATGACTTTCTGAACAGTGAGCTATCCTTAAACCAAACTATAAGTACTAAGCCAAGTGGTACCTAACATGGCAGGTAATGAAAACTGTATTAGCTAAAACAATAAAGACAAAGTCTACTTAAGCACTTGGAATGTGCTAAGTTTTCAGGCTTACATAAATACCGTTAGTTGAACTAACAGTGAAGCTGAATTGTATTCCAAGCCTTTTTTTTTGGCATTCATACTTGATAGGTTGCTCTCTAGAGTGGTTGAGGGGTTAATACTCAAGTGACCCCATTGCATGCTTTCAAAATGAAGAGCTTAATGGGTGTCATTAAACATCTTTATGATGTTATTGAAGACTTGTTTTTTCGGCTGGAGAAAGTGGAAGACCTTCAACGGTTTTCTCCCGGGGACATCAGTCGTTGGCGTACGAGAAGACCACTTTTCTCAGGGAAACGTGTGAAAGAGAAGAGTTTCATGTGCTGAGAACGAATTAAATCAGTACATGTTCCCAGTTTGAAAGCTGAAACCAGAGAAATCTCACATTACATATCCAGCAGTTAAATTGCAGAAATTAAATTTTCGCACTGATCCATAATAAATGTTTACAAATGCTACGGCATGTGACGTAGCATGTGCTTTCCAAACTGTGCTTAATTTAATCCAGAATAAATGTGGCTGAACTGTAAATGCTGCTTGCTCAACAAACTATCTAGCATATCAGTAGGGTTATAAATTCTTGATATGATGTATTTATTGTTTTTTTTTTATTCCCCTCTGGCATTAAATATAAACATGACTTGGTTAACAACATTGAAATAAAACTGCATGTACCAAATGAGAAGGTTTAGATTGGCCTCACCCCAAACTTGTGTGAAAAGATCTAAGACCATGTTGAGTGGTCATAACAGGATTAAGAAAACAAATTGAATGGATCTTGGAATTTTTTGCCCTTAACTGTTGCTACACATTTGTAAAATGCTATAAGCATGAGGTGTCGAGTGCCTCTGTCCATAGCTGCTAAATCATGGAAAATTACAAGACGGGAACTGTACTGTGGATAGCTAAACTCGTTCCTTTATTTTGATCTGGATCAGAACAAGGAACAAAACCCCAGAAGGCACTTCACTCCAATGGTATGAGTCCTGGACACCAGAGTCTAACACAATACCTCCCAACTGGCTCGTTTTCATGCTCCAGGTGAAAAGTGTCTGAGACAATACACCTGTCTGGTCGTCTTAGTCTCAGACACAACCACACTATTTTGGTGCTTGGGCTCCAAAGCTGCCCTGCCTTAATTTCCAGTATCTTGTGCAACTCAACCAAAGAATTACATTTTAGAGAAGAACTGAAACCTGTAATAAGACTGTGGCAACAGATGAGGATTACTCATTCTTATTGGACATTTTGTAATTGGGTAAATGAATGTGGAGCCCTATACTTATAGGATGCTGTGTGACATACATTATACTCCAGCACAAGTGTTAAAAAACAAACTACAGACACAGCAAAAAAATGTTTGACAATTAAAGAACCACATACTATAAGTCTGTTGATACTTTTACTTCATCAGCACTTAGAATGTTTGTTTGTTTTTTGTTTCTCATCTAACAATTCAAGTAATGGAAGCATTTAAAACTTGATTTTATCCTTTATAAAACAAAATAATATTTAGGCTGTCAACAAAAACAGCCTTTTGCTGAGTACTTCCTTTATAAGATTCCAAACCACAACACAACACTCACTTGGCCAAGAGTCCACAAAAAGAAAGCAGTAAAGCATATAGAATGTTGAAAATGTTACAATATGGTAGAAACTGATCATTCATTAATCCTGGATTGCAGGCTTAACAGGACGATATAGAAAGCACATCTATGGCTCTTCAGTTTCCTTTAATGGCATTATGGGACAACAGTGAAGTTAAACAGCACTATTTTCCACAAGATCATGTTGTCCTTTCTTAGGATCTGAAGGATAAAAAGATCGTTTTGAGATCTGAAATATGAGGAGCCCAGTTTGCAAGATTTGGCCAGCAGCCATATCACCCTGCAACTCACAACTGGCAACCCACTGAAGCTAAGCAGGTGTGAACCTGGTCAGTACCTGGATGGGAGAACTCCTGGGAAAAATTAAGGTTGCTGCTGGAAGAGGTGTTAGTGGGGCCAGCAGGGGGTGCTCACCCTGCAGTCCATGTGGATCCTAATGCCCCAGTATAGTGACGGGGACACTATACTTTAAACAGGGCCGTCCTTTGGATGAGACATTAAACCAAAGTCCAGACTCTCTGTGGTCATTAAAAATCCCAGGGTGTTTCTCAAAAAGAGTAACCCCGACATCCTGGCCAGATTTCCCCCTGGCTTTTATCCATCATGGCCTCCTAATAATCCCCATCTCTGAACTAGCTTCATCACTCTGCTCTCCTCCCCACTGAGAACTGGTATGTGGTGAATGTACTGGAGCACTACGGCTGCCGTCGCATCATGCAGGTGGGGGCTGCACATTGCTGGTTATGGAGGGGAGTCCCTATTATCTGTAAAGCGCTTTGAGTGGCGTGTCCAGCAAAGTATTATATAATCGTAAGGAATAATAATTATTAAAGAATTGTCTCCTGTTCTCGGAAGTTAAAAAAACATTTCCCTGGAGTTTTTTTAACTTCTGTCCTATAGTAACTGTTGACTGAAGAAGTCCACAGGGTTGAGTTTGTCAGTGCCATTGAGGATTTCAGTACTTGGACACATTGACCACGTCAAAGTTTTATATTTAGTAGTTCATTTCATTTACTGACTTTGTTTTGTGATACCAGGCTGACTTCACTTTCTTAAGAAACTTGTTTTAAATACCTGTGTTTAGAAAATGTATTTCATTCCCTCCATTACCACGTACACATTCAGAGAACTCACCTTGTTCTTGAAAGCCTGGTCCAGGATGAGCCCAGGCAAGACCCAAAGGCTGATGGGCATACGCACATAAACATAATCCAATTAAAAAAAAAACTAGGCAGGTTGTCTTATGGTGTAACTGTTATTTGAACTTGAAAAGTTCATTTTCTTTGGATTAAACTGGCATTTGGGGCATGCAGACCTCTGATTAGAAAACATAATGGCTGTACTGTCCTCATGTTTCAGGGGTGCTGATGCAGAGAAAGGAAGCACATGTGCTCCTTCTCCTTTTTTAGATAGTACCCTGCTTTTATTCCCCCCGCCCCACCTCCCCTGTCAGTATCTGGCATGAAATTCCACACATGCCTTTAATTTAGAGAGGGAGCACAGGAGTAAGTTATCTTACTCCTCTGGAATTTTCCACCGTTACTTCCAATGTTAGCCCAGATGCAATTAAGAGAAGGGGTAACAGTTGTGTGAAAATTAGATGTGCATTCAAGTGCTGTCCTGCATATGTGCTGGAGGATGCTTAAAATACAGAGAGACATGCAAAGAGAGAGGGAGATTTGTTGAAGAGAAGATCTGCAAATTTACCTTATCCAGAACCTCCCCTTCTTTGGCAGCCCCTTGGTTAAAATAACAGAGCATACAGTACATACAGAGTACAAAATATAAGCTGCAAGGGGAGAGACAGACTTGGGATTTAGAGGATGCACACCAGAAAACGTTGTTAGGCCTTTTCCAGCTGCCTTTTTTTGTTTCAGTGCTGTACATTTTTTTATTTGCCGATTAGCAGAGACCAATGTCTCCTCAGTTTGCATCTGAGGTAAGCTTTTCTTTATTCCCTATCCTGAAGGTTGTTTGTGTACAGAGCAAGAGAAATGCATAGAAGCTGTGTCTCAGTCATGTGCTGTGTTTCTGTGCAAGGACTTCAAAAGAACTGTACCAGTATGAGCAAAGCTCTACATTTGTGTGCAAGCGTTAAAAAGGGCCTTTTTAAGGACAGCAGTGCCTAGCACTGTACAGCTAGAAATAGCAGGCTCCTGCTCAGGGCTGGGATTGGGCCAGCTGAATATTTTATTGCTGATTTATCCCATTCTGATTTTAATGAAGGGATGCCTCACTCTGCACTGCAGTGTCTGAAAGGAGCCCTGATGCCGGTGTGGGCAAGCATGCTCTGATAGCTCCCACGGAACCATTCAGACAAGAGTCTCCGTGTTAATTATTAAGCTAAGGATTATTTAGACCACTGACTCTTCAGATCCTGCAGTGGTCCAGTCATTTGCTGCCCTAGCTGGTACAGTACGTGCTGGGTTTAACATTTCGGGATGTGGATTACAGCAGTCCGATGATAAGATTAGTAAGGGTTTTGCACCCCATGTCCTGCAGAATTTCTCATTGCTTGTTGTGTTGGGGCTTCTTTAAAAAATAACACCCTAATAAAGAACTGTGAGGTCTTAATGTTTCTGCTAATACCTTGAGATGAAATTGGGAAATAAATAAGATCCTTCAACTTGAAAGAGTACTTACAGGTGTTTTATTATGCTTTGTGTCCTGTTGGCCTTCTGTCCTTAAATGCCAAAAGAAGGCTTTCTTCAAGGAATCACATTAAAAACAGGCCAACATTTCTTTCACACATTGTTTTCTAAAATATAACTATTGCATAACTATAAAAAACTAAAGATTGAACTATAAGATTGAACTATAAAAAGTATAAGATTGAACTATCTCTAACTTCTGAAACTTATTTTATTTGTGGTCATTTGAAATGCTAGTGGAAGATGCTTTTTTTGTTCCCTCTCCTTTTTAGAAGAGACTATTACTTGTTTTTTGCTTGTATTTCCTTTATGGTTTATTTGGAAGGATTGAGTCTTGAATTTAGGAGATCTGCAGCTTTTCTCAGAAAATAACTTTTTAACCCTATACTGAATGCATGGAATGTAATTTCCTAAAGATTTTTCTGAAGTAACAACAAACAACAACAAAATCATTATTATGATATTTCTTTTTGAACTAGCAATATTTGACATCCACTAACATATATTTGTAGCAGTGTTACAGTACATGTTGTGCAGGACTGCCCAGAAAAAATCCAGGACGAGAGTTAATGTTGTTTTTCTTGAATAATTTGACTGCTAAATGTTCTGCTTCCTACCTTTTTCAATAATCCCTCTTTACCCATCACCCATACGTTATGGTCTAAAATAACAGACATAAAATTTTTAAAATGAGGGTGTGCATTGGAAAAAATCTTCTTTCTAGAGAATAACTACAGTAAATGGTTACTGATGATTAGAAGAGCACCACTCACAAATCTTAAATTTCTTGAAGGTTCCTACACTGAAGAGTAGTGTTTTTGTATTTTTCAATGAAAACTATTTTTATGGTCCTAAAAAAAAAAGCTTATGTTCTCCGACAGTGTCCAGTGGCTGTTCAAAAATACAGAGCTTCTGTGGCCGGGTGGGGCTCTTGTTCCTCCTCTGATACTCAGGCTTGGCTGTGTACATACAGTACAGCATCAAAGAGACGCAGAGCAGTTTGCTGACCGATAAATATCAGTCAGCGCTGTGTTCATCTCTTTTACACAGTAATGGAGAGATGTGGCATTAAATCAGGTCAAATAACTAGCTATTCCAAGGTGGATGGAACATAAAAAATAAATTATTAGGATTTCTGTGAAAAAAACAGGGAAAGGAGAGAATGGATAAGTAATCCCATAAATTTGAAAATATTGGTGTGAATATCAAGTGATGGCAGTGCTGTGCTGCTCCTCGCTACCTGTTCTTGTGGGTCCAAAACAGATGGAATTCACTGCATCTAGTGCATCTAAGCTTTCGGCCTTAGAAAATATTGCACTACATAAATAACTTCTTACGAAGTCAGAACACAATAAAATTGTGTGCATCGTGCATGATCTTTTAAGAATCGTTGTGTGGTGCAGCAATTGTACAGCACTGACCCATAGAGGGACTTCCACAGTGTAAACTGTAGTCAGTTTGTGTGTTTGCTTCTTGTCATTTCTGGCAATTGTATTTTGCAAATGAGTGATTATTTTTGCATTAAGAAGCGGCAGCTCTATAGGTTTTCATTAATCTTCGGTAATCAAACTGCTCCAGAGTTCATTTTTAGCAGAAGCTGCACAAATGTACTTTCCCCAAACTAAAGTCAGACATGTTTATTTTATTTAGCCAGACATTATTAAGAAAGATGCACCCAAATACACATTCAGCAGAAACACTGATAAGTGCTTGTCTGGAGTATATCACTGGACCAACCTGCACTGACACAAGCCCTGTCTTCCTCTGTATCATGCTGTGAACTGGCACCTACTATCTAAACAAGAGGCATGCTTGTGTCCTGTTACTGTTTACAGAGAAGAGGCTCTGAAACCACAATAGTCACTGACAGTCTACTTGAAGACTTTAAAATCTTCATTTCGTCATGCCACGACTTCCTTTCATGTGTAATGTACTTTCAAACAAATAAGCAATGAAATTTAATAACTGGGAATCTCATGAAGTGTTGCTTGTGATAAGGAAGCAAAGATGCACTTGACAAGATAACTTGAAGTTGCAGCTGTGTTTTCTGTTATTAACAATGAGAAACTTCACGCATTGAATCTAGAATTTGGACATGTGCTTAATAATGACCTCATCACCGATGGGTTTCTGTTTTTTTTTTATTTAAAGGACAATTACAGCACAACTGAAAGAACATTTATCCCTCATAGAAGATTCTTGAGTCACATTTTACAAAATAATTTTCGTATGGCAAATAGAGATAAATAAACATTGCCTCAAGATCAATCATCAGGAATTGACACACAATATATACAAGTTTTATTGCCCTAAAAATGATCAATTTCTTTCCTATGAAATTATGCAAAACTATGTTAATTATGCATATAAATTATATGTCTTCTATACTTCCTTTTATCGTTGTATTTTTATTGTATATATTCACTTCTTAGGAAGTATAATGTGTGTTTTTTTTTGTTAAATTAACCTGGAAAGGATTCACTGAGCACAGACTAGTTAAGTCAGATGACTGGAGTGAGACAGCAGGAGCCACTTTTTCACAAGGGGTACTGCAGTAGAAGATGTATTCAGACTTTATTGCCTTTCTTGATATGCTGGAATGTTCAGGATTAAACCGTTATGATTTCAACTCCCAATAATGTAACTGACATACTTCCACTTGTGAAATATTTGCGATGTCATGGGTTGTGATTTGCCAAGGTGTTTTTTACATTTGCTATGTCCGCCATGGTTGCACTTGGAGATGGAAACTTTGAATGCTAATTAATCAATATCACTATGACATAAATCAGCTATGAAATTCAAAGCTGTGAAGGAAGTAATGAAACAGAAGTGAATATGCGATGAAGGCCGGACCTTTGAACATTTTTCATGTTTGTGTCTGACGTACCTTTTATTTATTCGGTTCGAATTTTTATAGTTGTTGTTCTTGTGAAAATGGATGTGAGCTGTAAAACTGGATGCACTAAAAATGGATATGATTTTCATTAAAGCTTCAACTACTTCTGATTATGTCCTGACATCTCTTACTCCTTTGGCTTATCTACAAGAATGTAGTTCCTGATAACAGCTCATAACATTCCGACTGGAATGAAACAGACCTCACCCTGGATGGCTCTCTTCAGTTTTGAAGTGTTGTAAACCCTTATGTCTGCTCATTACTTGCCCTTGGCACAATATTCAGGGTACTTAAACTCATTACAAGGCACAGCTGTTCTCTTTATAGCTTTATTAAAAAAAAAAGTTTATTAGTTGCTTTCTATTGTGTCATCCATTCATAATGCTCCCAGAGATTAATGACAGTGATTGTTCCGTGGCCTACCCATCTTCCTACTGTACATGCCCATGTTCAGACAACAGTTATCATTTTTGCCTCAATGAAAGAAAAGAACCTTACTGTATACTGTAGGCACCTCATTTAGAAGTAAAAAGATGCTAGAGTGTTCATGTATCTTACACCACTGTGTTCATGTTTCTTTCTAGTTTTGAGGATTAGTGGTTCTGAGCTTTTTAATTCCCTTTTTCAAAGGCTCCAAACTGTGTCTCTGTCCTTTATGTTTACTGCTAGATGACAACTTATGGCTTATAGCTATATAAGCTTATAGCATTTTAAGCATTCAAGCTAGGGTCATTTTCCCCTCAGTCTGACATTTTAAAGTTTAAGGCTCAGACTGCTTATGCGAATGGTTAAAGAGCCAAGAGGAGCATGATTTTTCCTATAGCCCAGTCTGGGTCACTCTGGATGTCAATGCAGCTCTGTGCAAGCACAGAAAACATCTTCACACTTCCCAGTGAGCTAACCCTGTGACAGAACAAAAGGGCAGTGTCCTCTTAGCTTCTGGAAATAGTTTCACAGTTGCTCCTCAAGCAAAATTATTAATTTATACAAATGTGACAATGGGAGCAACTCCTTTTGCTGAAGCAGCAGGGGTATGCAATCCGATGTCAAATGGAGCAGCCCACTGTATTCTTTTTCTTTTTCAAGTTTTTAGCTTTCTGAAAGTTGGAAGCTCCCTCCTGCAACCTCCTCGTTTTTCATAATGGCGTCAATTACAGTTCCTGCCACAGAATGGTATGTCAGTTTTACAAGTTATTCTTGAGTGGTTTTTGAAACCCGTCCTGCTCGCTCAGCAAAACAAAACAAAAAAGTAAGGCATAAAAGTGGACATGCAGAGCGAGACAGGATTAGTAATTTATTTTCCAAAGACAATAAGCAAGGGCTGCACTCCGGTGAGTAATAATATCGGCCCCTTTACAAGGCGCAGCTGGGTTGCAGATTAGGACTGTT